AGCAATGAGCTTAGTTGTGTTATTACTTTTAAAGAACAAGTTCATTCAAATCTAAGCTTCACAGTTTCATCTATCTTTTAGAATTCCTACTCAGCTACACAATGAATACAGTGTGAAGTCCAAATCACTGTATAATCTTGATGTCGATATCACTGTATAGTCAATATGACTGTATGACTGTATAATCATGAAGTCATTGTGTCAATAATCATGAAGTCACTATGACTATAATCATGAAGTCAATCCGGCTGTATAAACATGAAGTCAGTATGACAGTATAAAGATAACCATGATGTCAGCTTGACTGTAAAAATCATGTCTTCATTAATCTTTAAAGTGAAGTTAAACTAATTAGATCAAATATACAACAATAAATTTAAAAAATACACTGTTGCCTAGTAAATTTAAGTTTTGACAAATCTTTCCTCATCAAGAGGAGAAGTTAGACTAAATATACAAGAATATCCTCAAAAATTCATGAAAATAAAGGACATGTCAAAGTTCAGGTAATTTAACTATTCTGTAGTGTGTTGAAGACAAAACTGTAAAGTGCTGGGTCAGAGATATATGTTTAGACAGATGGGCTTCAGAAAGTAGACAGGCAATTCAGAGAACTGACTAAGTGGTGAGAATGAAGGGAATATTTCGTTGACTCCAACCAAGCAACATACCTGAATCCTGGTGACAAATTTAGAGAGAGTCTAATCAAGCTACGGTGCGACAACTTCTGGGAGACAAGTATCATCACAGATTTCATTTGTTAACAGTTTCAATAACACATGGAAGTGACCCGATTACGTGTCCTGAAATAGAAAGCCATTGACAGGACCAGAGCAGCTTATTTAAAGCCCATCTTAGCTCAGAAGAATTTCAGCACTTGAAGTTGAAGTACAGTGCATACCCTTAACCCTTGTATTGTTTAATATCATGACTAGAAAACAATACATCTCCCTCAGAAGATGTGAAAAATGTCACAGGAGAAAAACAAAGTGTTTTCTTTTGGGATACTTTACTGTTTAAAATATGTTTCTCATTTTCAAAATAACAGACTAAAGCCAAAAGAGTGGATGGTCTATTAAGTAATTCATTGAGCAATCTCAGTTGGTTTGACTGTATTTATTTTTAGTCGGTAATATCTATAAACAGAAGTAGTATTTAATAGCTGAACTTGTTCTTTCTTCTCTGGGCTTGTAATACAAACTAATCAATTTTTAACCTGCCTGGCATATAGGTTTATAATCATTATGAACCAGATATTCATATTTTAACCAAAGCAATTGTGGGCCATTTAGAAAATGGATTGTCATACCATCATGCACAACTGAGATGAAATGAATAAGAACAAAACTAATTACCTCTTGAAGTAATATCCAAAACAAAGATGGCAACTGAGAGGACAGATAAATATGTCTCAAGTCCTGAAGTAACTTGTTCAGTTGATCTGTGTTATCTTTAGATAATCATGTTGTTTGAAACTGAAAGTACATGCCGTTGCAGGAAGAAATAGAGCAAACATTAACAAAACCATTTCGGATCCTCTGTCTTGACATAAATTTCTGCCTTAAATATATTGAGAACCAAGAAGCCACGGGGATGCAACTTTGGTAGGCACTCTGTGGTTACCCTCTCAGGGTGTACGAGACCTTCATTTACTGTGAGAGTGGGCTACCTCCTGACCACCTGGTCGGTCTGACCAAATAAAATAATCATTTGATATTAATATTTCAGTAATCAGTAATTGTACCCAAATATCAGAAATGTGAGGGGAAAAAATTTTACATGAATAGAGATAGAAAATTTCCAAAGTACTTATCTGCAAAATATTTTACAATTGAAAACAACTGGTAAAAAATATCTTATTGTCTGGTTTTTCTTGTTCCAGATAAATGAATCTAAAATTGTATAAATCTGTCCATCCCTGGAAGAGTGTATGTTTCCAGCTGTCAGTAGATGTGACCATGACATCTTATGATTAAATTAACTTTATCAGAAAAAACAATTATTATTGAAGTGAACTTCAACAATGCAGTGAGGAAAAAAATCACTAAAACAGAGTTTCAAACACAAATCAGAGATAAAATATGTATCCAACAAGGACAGCCACTAAGTAACAATAACAGTTACCATCAGAATTTCTAGTGGATTTCATCATTTAACTGAAGTTAGGATATCACTGCATACGCACAAATATGAAAAGTAAAAAAAAAAAAAACTCCATCCGATTTTATGGACATCCAAGTTACTGTCAGAGCATCAGAAATGCTGACACAACTATATTCATTGTGTTTAGTTTACAGATCAGCAAAACCAGCTAAATTGCAACAAATAAGGGGAGCTTTATTAAGTTAAATAATCAGACAATTCAATAGTATTGAGGAGCTTTATTAAGAAATTCTATTACAGAAAAATTAATTTACTTCTTAAAAAGAAAATTTTACAAGATCTCATTCATTTGAATTTTTGCACAAAATTGCATGAAAAGATCACTTAGAAGTCTAAATGATAAATGTTCAGTAAATAATATATTTACAGTAATATCATTATTACATTTGATATTCTTTGAAATAAATATTTTTACAGATTGTTTTTAAAACATAAATGGCAAAATTTTGGAGGGAACAGACTTGTTACATTTGTTTTGAGGTAATTTATGATTCGTATATATTATACATTTATATATACAAGCAGTGAAATAACTTAAAAATACAATTTTAAAAAAAAATTTTTTAACTGACTAAAGGGTGTAAAGCGCAAAAATAAATAATTAAATATGTTGAAATATATAAATTTATTACCTAGTGTCAGACATTTTTTTCCATTAATAAATAAAAATTTCTTTCTCAGATTCTCTCAACTTGCACTGATTGAGAAACATTGATATGATCAACTGGACAAAAAATAATAATAATAATAAATATACTTTATCACAGGACATCAGATTATTACAAATAAGAAAACTGAGAGCATTAAAATATTCCAAAATATTTTTTGAAATTTCAAAGTTAGAATATGTTGTGTTAAACCTGGGCTTTGGAGCTGGCAATTTTATCTAACTCCAAAGTCTGATAAACTTCCTTTTTTTTTTTTACCTCTATAATGCAAAGTAAAAGAGTGAGGGTTAAGGGATGGTATTGTGCAGACATGAGAGGCAGAAGATTAGAGAAGTGCGGGCATGTAAGGCAATGAGGAAATCATAGGAGTTTATAAGGAAAATGTAAGTGCTGTGACAAAGAGTTCCTTTAACCAAGTATATGGGGGGATATAGGGGGAAACACATTTACACAAATATGGTAAGAAACTAAATTTTGATTTAAAAACATTTAGAAATCCCTAGCTGACTTTCACTTCATTCAAAATATGAAAGCTTTTAATTTATGGTATTCATGGATAAGAAGAAAAGTTATTGGAAAATAATATTTGATTAAAATAATTTATCCCAGTATAATAAAAATTTAAGAAATTTTTCATCAAATATTTTAATTTGATAATTGTTTTTAATTTTCCAATTGTTAACATTTTGAAGGAGTTCAGAGCTTCAGCGCCACTCCAAAGCCCTTGCATTTTGTTGTGTTAAATACCCCCCTCCCCCCAATTTTTTTTCTTCAAATTAAATGCAAAATTTAAATTCTATTAATTAAATATAATTTGAAGGATAAATTATAACTGAGTGTGGTAAACAAAAGAAAATTATTCTTAATTAGCATAGCCAAGTAAGGTAATAAAATTAATAAATGAAATTAACATAAAAATGGAAATGTACAAAAAACCATAGGAAGAAGTCCAAGAAAAAAAAAAAATGAAAGAAACTGTTTAAGATAGTTTACTATTGTAAGTCTCAACAAATTAAGAAGTATGAGGCATGAACTAAGTCAGAAAGAGAAAACTTGTTTAATGTTTTGAACTTTTATCATTTTTATAGCACGTAAAAGACATTGTACCATCTTGGACAACAAGATAAACAAAACCAAAATGTATAATAAATGAAGTTTTTTTTTTTT